TTCTGCACATTTTTAAATGTTTACAGCTGGGGCAATATTGCTTTTACTAGCAAGTCTGTCATGTTTTTCTAATTGGGACTTTATGCTTATTGAATGTATGTTTTGAGAACCATTTGTGCAAACATGTGTTCACTATAAAAATAATTTCTTGTAACAAGTTTTGCAAGTAAAAAGTGTCATTGATGAGCTGTGATGTAGGCCATATGCGTAATCAAAATGTGTGTGAGAAGCGGGAAGTGCTGTGAACAATACCATTTTACGTGTGACAAAGATTTCATTTCAAGTATTTTATATAAATTTATGAAGAAAAGTTTTTGAACCTAGCCCCAATTGTTCTGGGAAAATATGATTTAGTTAAGACAAATTGATACAAACTGCTATGCAAAGTATGGATGACATTGACTCACCCGTTAAAGAGATATAAAGATAAGTTGCACCACGAATTTTTGACCGCACTATAGATGTTTGTTTGCTTGTTTGAGTAAATAGAAACACGTTGACGAAATAATAGTCATTTATTGCTGGGAAAAAGTAAGACAATCAAACAAAAACAACAGAAGGAAAAATAAAAAAGTAGAACCTACAAGTGACGACAACCACTCGTACATGTCAAATGAAGAAGAATCCCCTCTATCGCTACGGAGGGGGGCTCTCGTGGACAAGAAGTAAGGTGTTCGCCTCTCATTCAATGGTCCCAGATTCGAATCCGGATAGTAACAGAAAATGCTCTTCCCGTACATCTTTTCCTGCTTTCTAACAATGTTCTGTCGTCTACTTTCGTCTCCACTTTCTGCCCCCACCCCCTCGACCCCTTTGCCTCCTCCTCTAGGCTCCTGACTCTTTCCGCAGCCTTTCTACTGCTTCTCCTCGGCTCCTTCTTACTGCTGTCTTTCAGCCACATCCCTGATCTTATGGTAGGTAAGATCTACATAAGGGACAAGGGCGAAAAATCTCGCAGGTTACGTGTGCAAGTTGTACACGTTAAAGACCCCTTGGTGGTCCAAAATCGATAAGAGTAGGCTTCGGCCGCCACCCGGGAAAAATTCAAAATTACCTACCAACTGAAAAATATTTGGTGTGTTCCATGCACTTATATGACTTTACGCAGTTGCGAACGCCGTAAAAACACCTACCCCCCAAAAACAAACAAACAAACAAACAAACAAAAAACAACAACAACAAACAACAACAACATCAAAACAAACAAAACAAACCCCAACATAAAATAAAACAAAATAAATCCAAACGGCGAAACAACGTACCTAGGTACAAGGCATCATCTGACTCCGCAAAGCCGGTCAGGATAAAATCTGCACACATACTGACAATACAGACGACCCCTGTGAACTCCAGAGAGACCTTTCCTTTCAGTAGCCTCAGAAGGAGAATAGCGGCTACTGACGTTATAGTCTGTGGAGAGGATGACATCATTAATATTATACGTTACATTATATGTCAAGCAAGTGAATAAATGGAAACTCGTGTCATTCACTTTGTAAAAGTTTAGCATCCTTCTCAACACGGTGTGGAGATTTAACCCTATCTGTACGCCCTGGGGTCATTTTGTACCCCGGTGTTGTTTTCTTCACATTTTAGAATACTTCTAGTACGATTCAAACCAGGGCCGGGGACTCTCGTGGCCTAGAGGTTAAGGTGATCGCCTCTCATTCAAAGGTCCTGGGTTCGAATCCGGGTAACGACCAAAACAATTTCTTCTCTAAAATTGTTTCCTTTCACCTCCTTTCTTGCTTTCTAACAATGTTTTGTCGTCTGCTTTCCTCTCCTCTTTCTGCCTCCACCTCCTCACCTCCTTTGCCTCCTGCTCTGGGCTCCTGACTCTTTCTGCTGCCTTTCTACTACTACTCCTTTGCTCCTTCTTACTGTTGTCTTTCAGCCACACCCCTGATCTTCTGGAAGGAAAGATCTACACCTAGTCTTCTCGAACAAGGACGAAAAATCTCAGAGGGCCCGAGTGCAAGTTGCGCACGTTTAAGATCCCTTGGTGTTCTAAAATCGATAAGAGTAGGCTTCGGCCGCCACCTAGGCAAAATTCAAAATTTCCTACCAAATGAAAATGTTAGGTGTGTCCCGCGCGCTCATATGACATTATGCAGTAGCGAGCTCCGTAAAACAAAAAAAAAACAAAACAAAAAACTACAAAAAAACAAACAACAATAAAAAAAAACAAAAACCCACGACCATCCGTCCTATAGTTCGGCATAACACCGACGAAGCTGACGAAGCACCACCATCTATCTGTGTGGGACATACAACAGATTAATTGTGACGAAGTAGATAATTAAACACCGATTTTCTCAAGTGACAAGATAATAACTCTGCTGCACGTACTGAAAAGAAAATAAAGCACGTACAAAACGCAGAGTTATAGTAAATTTCACCTCCCGCCTATTCAATCAATATCTTAGAAGTACCTATCATATTTATCTTCCCGCATGACGTGGTGGTGACTCAAATGAGGTCCCATGAAGGGTAGTGACTCCAAGTGTGCGGGGTAGGTCAAGTAAGTTTCGAAGTGTGGGCTAAAGTTTACGTTTACTTTTATCAATCTAAGGACAGCCGAACTCGTACTTAATTTTGACCATATTGTTTTTTTTTTCCTTTAAATCAACGAGGACGCTTATTCAACAATGCTTTAGAAAAAGAAAGTACTACATTGTTATTCATATAGTTTCTTTTCTGTTCTTCTTTTTTAACAAAAGTCCCTTTCTTTGCCTTAACCCCCCCCCCTAAAAAAAAAACAACAACAAACAATTCCCTTATCTTTCACCTTAAACTGTTGAAAGATAGGTAACAACATGCATTCTATTCTAAGAATGCAAATTTGTTATCTGAATAGTGGACGTCGTTAAAAAAGTGCCGCGACATTGCTGACTGGACATTATTATGCGTCTGCCTGGTCCTTAAAGGCTTAATGTGTTGGTTTGCACTACACACTGTAAAGCTGTAACTAGATCGACTACAATTCTGTTGTCGTGCTTTTTCTGAACACAAAAAACCACAAAAAAATAACAACAACAACAAACAGACAAAAAACAAACAAAACAAAAACAAACAACAACAACCCCACACACAGAGAAGGCAAGATTTATGTAGAAATTTAAGTTGAAAGATTTGGTTAGCTCTGAATAGGTATGAGTATGTATGTGTTTGTGTGTGTGTGTGTGTGTGTGTGTGTGTGTGTGTGTGTGTGTGTGTGTGCGTGCGCGCGTGTGTGTGTGCGCGCGCGCGTGTGTGTGCACGCTCGTGAGCGTGTGCAAAGGTTGGGGAGCGGTGCATTAGAACGTAGGCACCAACAA